GTTTTTTTTTTTTTCACTGAAGCATTCAACATTTACAAAAATACAACGAAAAGCACTGCCGACTGCTGATAGGTGGTTTTCTTCGGTGGCTTCTATATTTTCTTCTTTCAAACAAAAATTATAGTCTTTTTCTTCGTCATCTAAAGTTGTAAATTAATAGATTGCTTGCAGTCCAAATATTGTTAGTTAAGTATCAGAGCCCTAATTATTTCAATTGATTTACTCGTATTAATTTTTGACACAGTGTTTTCAATACTGAAGTCTTGATCACTTTATGTTCAGCAGCTTCTGCTGTGGGTTTGAACAGTGGTCTGGAGAAATTGAAGCACAAATAAGTCATTTCAAATAAGTCTTTGTTGAACAGTTTTAACTGTTCAACTAAATATGCCTATGACGAATGATAACCTGCTGAATTAAATATCTAGAATCGCATGGCAGAACAGATAATATCATTCGGAGAACAAGAATACCAGAAGATTTATATTAATATTCAAATAGGCGATTTATTATTTTTCTTCAAGTTCACTCATCTGAGTGTATTATCTCTCTTTTATTCCAGGTGTAATATATAGTAATACAGCCTACAATTTAAAAGACAAGTCGACTTTTAAGAATGATGCTCGCTACATATTACTTGGTCTAACCGCTGTAAATACTTCTTCTGTTAAATGGTACGATAATTCCGACAATGCCTACGTAACAACAGAATTATTTCACAAGTTAAAACTGCCATTTGGAAAAGATTGGTGCTACTTTCTAATTTATCGTCCTGGTAAAGAAAGAAATAAGACTGAGGGTAAGATACTAGTCTCCATGAAACCTTTATCTGCTGTAAAATTTTATCTTACAATTTGACCTTGGTTCTTCAAATTCAAGCAACCGTTTAACGCTCGCTAGATAGTTTGCCAGCCTATTGTGAGTCGTACAGGTATACCTGCTAATAAAGTTAAACAGAACGATTCCGCAGCATTTGCAATTTTTAATGAAGTCATAATCTACCTTTGTCAGCTGCAGGTATCCTGCTAAATTGACAAAAAGCGCAAAACTTAGAAGTGTTAACTAAAGTGGTTTCTCTCAACTTTTAGAAGAGAAGTGATCAGATTATTATATGGAATAACAGTAATAAAAGCTGTAGTAACTTATTAAGTGAAACTAATTTGCTTATCTCAAAGCTGTCACTCATAGCTTTTCTCTTTACAATGAAAATAAAGTTACTGAATTGCACATGGTTAATAAGTGACAAAAAAACTTAAAAAATACAGGCATTTGCTTCAGTCTAGATATGTCGTAAGGAAATACGCAAAACTTTGTATTTTGCACCTGGAATATATCTTACAACTCGTGTCGCTCACACGATGTCAAACCGCTTTAATTCAATAATCATGCAACACGACAAAAAAAAAGAAAAATAAGAGAATTTTAAAAGTATTTGTTTCTGTGAGTCATTCATGCAATTTAAAAACCATCAAAAACTAATTGTTTACAGATTTATTTTATGCGGAAAAGTGTACTCATCTATCCGAGCACAAACACTTGTTGTGTGAACTATCAAACAAATCCCATCGCAAAATTAGGATCCATTCCAAACGAAGTGTTAAGCATTTTCATCAAAATCGTACTCACATACTTTCAAGAATAGATAAAAAGTCTGCCACAGCTGGTATTTCGAAAAAAAAAATCTCGAAACAACAGAAAGTAATACTGGTACGTTCTAATACAGTATCATTATTGAATTTTGAAAACGCCAAGTGCATTTGTTATTTAGTTGCAGTTAAGACAAGAAATCGTTCTAGTAATTAAACGCCAACATATCTTAGCAACTGCTAAAATAAATAAAAAAAGAAAAAAAAAGCTGAAAACTATGCTTGTGCCAGCCTTTAGTTTTCCTTGCTAGTAAAGAGCATTGACATAGATCAATAAGAAATAAAAATCCAAAATAATTTCAATACTTCTTACCTGTAGAAAAACAGCGCAGAAAAACGCAAGAAATAGAAAGCAGTTTAGATAGCCATTGTCAAAGCAATATCTGTAATGAACAAAGCTGAGTGGAATATCAAACGAAAGCTAAGCGAAACCCTGAAACTCTGTACATAGACTCTCGATGGTCAAAAAGCGGAACAGTACTCGATGAGATACAAGCTGTATTGTTTCATTGAGCTAAACTCTTTTAAATATTGTTTTCAGAAAGGACATACTTATATTACTCTTCTCGGAAACCACGTAAGATGTAAGTTTGAATGTTTAAAACTTATGAAGTTTATGCGATGTAACTAATAAATACAGCTTAAAAGCAAGAAAATCTTTCTTTTTCTGACAAAATAATCTTTACTTCAAATATATATATGCTTAGCTAGTTAAAAATTTGAGAAGCAGCAAAATGATAACTGCCAATAACAACTAACCTTCAAGTATCAGCAATATCTTCCTTCACTAGAAACATTAAAATTCAAATAATGTTCTCGTCCTGAAAAGTTAGTGAATGAAGGATACTGGGTTCAAGATAAGTAGTCGTTTCAGAGGTTTTTAGTACTTTTGCATTGAAAAGATTGCTTTGCTAATAGTGCTTTGAAAGTTGAAATATTACGGCAAGGAAAAGCTATAGTGACAAAGAAACAGCCTCAACCTGCAAAAAATGATTTGGTGCTTAACGTTTAACATTTTACAGCGACAACTCCTTTAGGCGTTTTAATCTTTTAAACCATAGTACAAAGGTGTTCAATGCGGATTCTCTAATCTCTCGTGAATCAGCAGATTTAACCAAAAAATAATTTATACGTTGACCCTGCTCAATGAAGTACAAATTTTTCTCAAGGTACTTCACCAAACGCTTTTGTGAAATTTCTAATATCTCGTTCTGCAGCGAACAAACAAGAATTTGGTAGCGCAAACAAGTGTAGAACCTAAACATAAATTCCAAAATTGTTAAGAGCAGTCAGAAGTTATGAGTCAGATACAAACAATTTTTACAAGCCTTGTTAGTGTTTCATTGCAAAAACTTTTTATTTTCTTTTTTAAGCCTCACCTTCTAATTAAATACATTTTAAAATTCTTTTAGTTTGCAATTATTGTCTAAAATTTGAACACAAAATCATCACATCAAAGTGTTTTGAATAACAACTAGATTTTGAGTTATCTACGTAAATGCTATCTCTGCAATCTACCGTCCAGTTTTTCAGGGGACATTCTGTTGTATCTTCACATCCTGTTCCTGGCTTGCATTTATAGTCCATTGTGCGGACTGATATGCCGGCTTCGTCATATAGAAAAATTGGAAAGCAGGGAAGCTGAAGCAGAAAACAAGTTTGATGACCACAAAAGAGCTCTTTTACGAAAGAAAATTTTATTTACTAGCCCTGGTGCATACACTTTGTCTCCTTTTAAGACAAGTTTTAAGCTGCGAAAAACACCGCAAACTTTGTCTCGGTCTGGCAGTGAACTCAGTGAACGACAGATATGTCCCGAGCAACCGTCATTTAGTGTCGGCGATAAAAAGAAACCAGAGTTTACATCCAGTTTTACTCGACCTATACAGTACTATAAATTTCTAACGCCCGATATACAAGAATCTAGTAGGTCAGAGAACGGATTTTTAAGAAGAACGGAATTTACTGGGCAGGAAAGCGATCAAACAGAAGAAAAGATTTTTGTGGAAAAAAGTGGTACAATCAGTGAGGGTCCTCTAACTGAGAACGCTGAAAAAGCAAGGGATGATTCTTTGGGAACATTTAATATGTCAAGAACGTCTGAGTTCAACATTGAAAAAGATGTTTCTAATGAAAGCAGCAGCCTCATAAGTAAAATAAACGAAGAAAAAAGAACTGTTCCAGTTTTATCAGTTGAGACCTCGCTGAAAGACAGCGAGAAAATGCCTCGTCTAAAGTTATCAGAAATGGAACAGGATTCGACTAAATTGAGTAGTACAAGGCTACCTCCTGGTAAAACCGTAACCAAGCCAGCTAGGTTTTCGACAGAACCAGTGTTTAGGTGTTTAGACAGCGAATATAATAGACGGCCACGAGGTTTTGATGCTATAAAATCACTGCTAGAGGGAGACCTGGAAAAGTCCTTCTCCACAAGTACAATGGCAGCTGAAAAATATAGATCGCTTGACATTGAGCCAATGCAAAGATTTGATTGGGAAATACCGGATTGGCTTTTCCTGAATGAGCGAAGAAATTCGGCACCTGTTGTCAATGAACCTCTAAGAAGAGATAGCGAATCTAAAAGCCCAATCAGTAGAAAAATTGATTCCGCAATTGATCGAATACATAACATTACGACCAAAATGTCTGAAACATTAAATCGTTTCAAACTGATCTCGACAGTTATCTCCGAGAGTTCCGGAAAAAATAATAAAACAAAAACTGCATTTTTGAGCGTTTGGGATGGCGAAAAAGACTTGTTTACTAAAGATGCCTCAACGCCGATTAAAGGAGAGTACGATGAAGTTCCGTTCTAAGAATGGTTTAAAACTGTCAGCGATATCAATGAAATGCGGATAACTGTAAGATGTGGTTCTCAAACCATGCACGAAGACGAAGCAGTCGTCACAAAAATACTGCTTTATAAATGAGGACCTCAAATTTGAGCGGCTAACTTAAGTACTGCATAAATAAGAATAAATTCCAAGGCTGTTTGTCTGATGATGTTGTTCTTTGTTGATTTTTTTTGGCAAAATGATATGCTTGTTGATTTTCCTTAGATACAAGTTTGGAATCATCCGTAGTAAAACTTAATAAAGCAATTTTGCTCAACATTACATGAAGCAAAAAATATGTGATATGCGGTTCAAGTACCTGTATTTGAACTTGAACCCATTACGTTTTAATAAGTGTCGTTATTATACTTTATTAGCAGCAGTATTGTCACAAAAAGTTATATCTTGTCTAATTTTATTTTACATAAATTGATTCTGATGTTTACTTCTAAGTACAATAAGAAGTATTTCAAAAAAACAAAAAAACTGTTTTTGTTAAAGTTATTCGTATAAGATTTTTAGAAAACCTTGTTGACTTTGTTATATTTTTTTATGTGTATACGCTTTTTTTTTTAATTGAAAAATCACTTGTGCACCATACTGTTACACTTCCTTGTTCATAATTTTTGTGCATTCTTAACAACAAAAAAGTATGTTTGATAAAAAAAGTGTTCTTTCCTCCGCAAACCCTTTTGTAGCAATAGAAGTTTCAAGAAAAAAAAAGTGAAAGCTTGAAATGAGTGCCGAGTAACTAATCCGTAAAAATTCTGTAAATTTGGCAACAAATTTAGGATGTCAAGAAAAACAGCAAAAGCGTAACCAAAAAATTTTTCTTTAAGTTTTCGTGCCAACTTTACAGTAACTTTGGTGTTTTGATGTATTATTTGAGCTCATTGTCCACGAAAAGTTTGCTGATATAGTAATAAAAAAGAACGAAAAAAAGTGTCGTTATTATCTTTGGTTGAGAGTATACTCTGATGAGAGAATTTGCAAAATTCAAGTGATGTAATGTTAAGTACAAAACTTTAGGTCAATCATGACTTTATGAAATACAAGTTTTTATTATTTTGTTTTTGACAAGTTGAGGATTTTATAACGATCCTCGACCGAGCCGTGTTCTGAGCTTCAATAAAATTTGCTGAAGAAAAAAATCATTTTTTTCGATTTTAAGTAATGCAGTCATTTAAGTTATCTTATTGCCATAATTGTAACAAAATATGCATTAGTAACTATTTCTTAATTAATTGACTGCTTTAAAATATTTCAAAAATGTATTCAAATGCTCTCATTGGGTTATCGTTTATAGCAAAGTGACCAGTGAGTTCTTTAAAGAATTAATGCTAAGTCAGACACTTGAGTGGTAACTGTTGCGAGTATCGCATCACCACTTATAAAATTACGTCCGCTTTTTTTCTTCTTAAAACTCTCATTTTAGTACTGTTTTTTTTTCGTCTGTTACTAACCCTGAAATTTGTTGCTTTGCCAACAGTTAAATCATTTATACATTTACAGTTACAATTTTACATTTTTAAACTTGTTGAAATAGTTTTAATGCGAAAAAAAACTCTGTTTACTGATCAAACATTAATTGTTACACTATTATTGGCAATTACTGCTGAATAAACAGTCAACTTATAGTATTGATTTTGAATAAACAAAAAAACTGTTGCAGTTTATAGTACTTACTTTATAAAATAATTTTTGCTTCCTGAAAAGTCTTCAATTTTTGTGTATAAAATTTCTTATTGTACTTAGTTTAGCCCAAAAATTTAAGAAACATTTCTAAAGTTCATTTGGGTTATGCAAATAAAACTTATTATTTAAGGCACTAAGTAAACAAAAAATTATTCAAAAAAACTCTTCCGGTGCAAATACCCGGCGACTGAACATTATTTGCTCTCCTTACAACTTTTCCTGGGTTCTGAAATTAACATGCACCGGCTCCTTTTGTAACGTTCGTTTGGACACCCATAAATTCCGCATTTTAAATCACAACTGTTTTAAACAAAAATAATCAGCCGCTGTAAAAATTATTTTAAAAAACTATATGGCTGTTTGAGATAGTACCACAGCTTTGCATATTCGAATTTATAGTGCATTTAGATAGAAAATGAGTGTTATGGAGGCAAAAAAACACTTGAAGAAAAAAAATGTGAGACTCTTAACTGAAACTGTATCTGAAAGCTTTTGATTGTAAAACCGTTCTAAGTTTGTAGCATTCCACACTATCAGAAACGTGTCTTGCGGAACTGCAAAAACAAAAAGTGAATACATAAAAACTAGGCTCATAAAAGGCACGAAAGGTAGAAAACAGGCACGTTTTAAGTTAAGTAAAGTGGAGAGGACAATATTGATCCAGGCAAATGAAAATGGAATTCAGGTAAAAAATGAACGCTTTAGAGTGGGCACAGTGAAGCGTGATTAGCTTTTAGTCAATTCAACAATTTAATTTTGATCATGCTCTCTCAGCAAAAAGATTTTCAGTCTAGTTTTGAAATCTACAATAATTTTAAACCCACAATTGCGTCATAGGCTAAAGTTGTTGGTGGACGTTGCAAGTAACAAATAGTCAATTTTCGTTTTTACTGCTGTGGTCTTTTCTGAAATCTTGGGTTTAGGTAATCTTTGCGTTTCACAGGAGAGAGAAAGGAACTTACATGAGAAAACAAGCTTTCAGTACCGTATCTGGTTAAGGTAACGTCTCGCACCTAAATGAAGGTGAACGACTGTATTTCACGCTTCAAGTGAGGGAGCTGTGCGCCAAATGATTTTTCAGAAAGATATCTTATTTGGTCAATCGGATATTTTTTTTCCTGAAAAAACTGTGTCTCTTATTTGACAAAGACTGCTGCTGAATGTGAATTGTAACAAAAGCAAAGTGCAACACTTAAAAATCCCTTTTACGAACACATTTACAGGCAGCATTAGATGCTTTAATACATTTTACTAAAATATTTTCCACTTTGATGCAATGTTTGGTGGGTTTCCTGGAGCTGGTTCAAAGATGATAGCTAAGCCACTGTAACCAAATATTTTCTTCAACCTTTTATCAAAAACAAAACTTTTTTTTTTCTGCATAAATCTTGAACCTATACAAGAATTTGCATGTTTTATTAGGTAGCTTTAGGCGAAACAAATATGCAGTTACATATTGAAAACATATCGTCCTACTTTCGTTGATCAAAAATAATCTCAAGAATTTTACTACAAATGCGGTTGTTATGCTTTGTTTTTCTGCAGCTTCAGTTCTTCAGCCACAAAACTTACGCTTATGATTCAAGTAAATTAAATAATCAATTTTGTGCAAATGTTAATAAGTAGGTGTTTTTTATAATGTTTTTGAAGAAATTTTTTGGTTGTAAGTCAAATTTTGAATTATTTCCAAGTGCTAAACCGTGTTTCGAAAGATGCCATATTTACATACGCTTTTATTAGAAGACTAGTTTGTCTTGAAGTAAAACTTTTCACTGTTTCAACCAAAATTACCGAAAACAACAGTAATCTGTTAGAAAAAATGAGTATACTAAGATTTGAACCATAGACTCAGCTTAAATTGCAAACTTAGAAGTGACAGAAATGCAGACGAATATTGTTATGGGGTAACGTAAATTGGCTGCGCTCTTATATCTCAACTACTTTTGACAAATGATTCCAATTTTATCGCATTTAAAACGACGGTGATTAAAAATATGA